GCAGCAGTCCGTGAAGGGGAAATGTACAATTGGTTGATATTATTTCAGAAAACATAAAGCTCATTACTGTAATCAAATTAACAGTAAAAAATTACATGGCATTATACGTAGAATCTCTCAATGTTTTTCTACATAGAAAACATGCTGTTGTATGTTAGTGGACATAAATTAATGCTTGGCTTCTCTGGTGTCGTAGTTTGGGTTGGATTCTCCCTGCCCCATGTGTAAATTATATTTGAGGCAGCTTTTCAGCTCAATTCTAACCACATTTACTTCAGACTAATCCTCACTGAGTTCAATGGGATTATGTCAATGTATCTATGCTTAACATTTCAACCCAGACTTTTTGGGGCTGGTGAACAAGCAGGACCAAGCAAAAGTACTTATTATGGTTTGTGAAATTGTTCAGATAAAACAGAAATAATCCCAATCTCTTGCAGGCTTTTTGCCAATGTTTCTTCCCCTCACTTCACACTGTTCTGTCTTGGGTTTTTAAAGGTTGTTTTGTTTATCAAATACAATATGCTCCTCTTCATAAGAAGTGATTGGTGGAAACATACTAATACATTCCCCTCATCACCAGTTTATAGCACTCTGATCCATAACACCTGAAAAAGGCTGTCCTTGTTGTCATCACTGTTGTTGTTTTCATCCTCATTATACCATGAAGGTGATTCTTACATATGCTGACTATTCTCAGGGTTTTTTTGGGCAGATATTACTCAGAAGCTGTTGTGTTTTTCTGGGGACACTGTGGGGATGTGCAGCTTGCTCAGGGTCACACAATCTGGCTCTTCTCCAGATTGAACTCCCAACACAACTCACTGAACTGTACCTTCAGCTGTCCACAATATAATGAATCTATATGACTGTGATGTCATTTTCTGTGCTGCATATTCCTTCACCAGTGAGGGCTATAGTTGTGACTAATCCAGAAATTAAAATGCAATAGTAACTAGAAGAAAAACAAGTAGCCAATGGGCCACAGGAAACTTGCGATGTAACACCATTACTTGTTAACTCATGTAATGGCATTACATTTTGCCACACTTCTATGTTCTTCCTGTATTTATGAATACAGAAAGCAATGTTTTCAATCTGAAAAAATGAAATAGAAGAACATTAATTCAAATTCATTATAAGCTTTTAAAGAATTATCATTTGGGTGAGGAGGCACATTATAAACAAACAGAATAAATATAAAATATTCCTATTAGCATCAAGTATGGAGGCTTCTGCTCACATTAAAAAAATTAAGCAAATGGCTTCAAAAAATACTGGTAAAAAGAAGGCATTCTTTCTGATCATAATGATGTCAAAAAAGCAAATGTTTCTAAGACAACATGTTGGGGAGGCCTATCTGTGAATGCCAATATGTTCAAAGTGACTCTGCATGCTATGCAAACAAGCAAAGCCTGACAACCCTGCTCCGGTTGCAATTTATACATCAAAACTCTTTGCGTTTTCCTTTGATATCTACATTTCCCTTTAATACGGGGGCAATGTAGACACAGCCATTCTGAAGGCCAAAAAGATGTGACAAAAGGGAGCTGTCAGTGCAGGAGCCCAGATGGAGTTATGGTCTAGACTAGATTGCTGATGTGCCAGCATCAGAGCTATATCCAAATACTGCAAAAAGGAAGGGGGGAAACGCCATCTTATATGAATGACAGCAGGGGAGTACCACCCCCTACATGCCACTGTCTCTGCTGAGTGGAACGTAAGACTGGACTGAGAAGAAGAAAAAAAGCATGCAAACTGAATGACACGGAAAAAGGCAATAGTGCATGACTATTGCACAATGTTCATGATTTCTAGCTTTAATGCTTTACAAAACAAGACACTGTTGTTAATTAGAAGATCGTCACTGACCCAGGAACATATGGAAACATTTTTAAAGAGCATGTTTTCCTACAACTAGTTTGGTACTTTAAATGGTCTTTTGCCTTTTGTGCTTCCCAGACATATTCTTATCCAGACTGCTGAGTGAGGTTGGTGAGGATGGCAGCTCTGTCTATATCCCTACCTAAGAGTTTCATGACAGGTCAGACCTCCAGTGTGGAGGTGATGCAGTTGTGTCTATTTTAAGCAACCGCACGCCTTCCTTGGTCTGAGTCTGAAGGTAAAGCAGCCATGCAGCTGCCTCTGAACAATGGAGGAAGTGCATCACATCCATTTGGGGCTTCTGAGAAACATCTGGTGAATGCTGGGCCCCTTAATTTGATTTGGCATGATTCTTCTTCTATTGTGTTCTTCAAGGAAGAAGAGCCTCTTGAGTCTTGGTGCCATCTTTGTCCCAAGAATCAATAGCTGGAAAGGGGGGTTTCTGCTATAGAAACGTGAGCAGTTGTAAGATTGTGGGTCATCTGATAGACTGAGCCAAGGTGGAAACACCCAGGCTAGATGGGTTTGGAGGTGTTACTTTTCATTAACATTTTGTCCTCTCAACCAATAACATTGCTTTCCTCTAGTTCCCCCTTCTTGTAGCCTTGTACTAAAACTTGAATAAGCTAAACGTGTGAGGAGAGGAAACCTGCTCTGCCCTGCCTTCTATTATCATCCACATGTGCAGGGTGAATTTCCAAACAGAGCAACCTCTTTTATGTTCCAGAGCATCAGGAATTCTAACATTCTGATCATTTACTTTATTCAGAGAAACAGAGTCTTGTCTTTTTATTCTTAGATGTGGGGCCAAATTAACACTTCCATTTCCCATCACCCTCCTCTTTGCCTTCATTTCTTTGTCTGTCCTCTCTGCTTTGCTGTCAACTACGAATAACTGAAAAAGTTCAGAACAAAGCATTTGAAATGGACTGTTAATTGAGCTCCTTGGAAACAGGTATGTTTTTGTTTCTTCTTTCCCAATGAGCAGAAGACATTTTTGTCCTCTTTGAGCAGTTCTCTCCTTGAAAATCCATATGGTTTTTAATTCTAATATCATCTTTTTCATATAAATCCCTCCACAAAGGAATAATGTTAGGTCAGAATTATATCCCTAAGTAGGCTGAAAGAAAAAGCAAAGTGGTGTATTTGGATAACCTGATGGGAAGGTTATAGAGCAGAGGGGGGAAAGGGCTACTGTGTATTCATGCTGCCATCTAGTGATTATAACTTTCTGCATAGGTTTTCTGTGAAGTAGCATTTTGCTGTATTTCAGTACAGTATATGCTGAATATATCAACTACATTTTTATTGTTTTCAAAATAATGAAGTCTTCCATGGCAATAGCTTCCTTTTCAAATGTAACACCTCTGTTTTGTTGTGTTGTGTTTTTTATGTGATTCCATGTCCCAGTATTCACTTTTCCCCCCAGTTTATTTCTACAGTTCTCAGACCATTACAAAACACAAATTCCACAAACTGTGTGACTGATTATGGAAAGTAATGCCAGCTGAATCAAACCTAAATTATACAAAGCTACAGTTCAAAATCATCCTGATTCAGGCATAATTTATTTCAGATAAGAACATGCAATTTCAATCATTACCTACAATTTTGTCTATGCAATAATAAAATCCAAAATTCACTAGTTTTCCTTCTCCCGTTTCTCTCTAAAATTTGGCTCAGATACTTCCAAATACTCTTCTTTCTACATTAAATAATAATAATAAGATTTTTCAACCTGCCAACCCACACAAGATAAGTTTGTTCAAGGTTAGGCCTGTTTCCCATCTTCTTTCCAGGATAGCCAAAGGCATTATACTTAACCATGCCCTATAAAAAAACAGTTCCTGGACTTCTTTTAAATGACATTGCAGGGCTTATATCAAACTCATAGAGTCAACTGGAATGGATCCATTGAATCAATGTGATGTATATAAATGTTGACTTAAGAACTTCTATTAAATAATAGACTCGTTCATAATTGGATTTAGTCCACTGGTAAATTTCTGCAAATTTCTACACTTTTTAAAATTTTGTATGGCTCTTGACGGTGACTCACTGGTGAACATGTAGGTGGTGACACAGAAAACACATGGAACAGTTTCAGGTTACTAATGGGAAAAATAGAAAGGTGAAATCATTCCCTACAGGCAGCACCATGAGTAAGGGATAAATGAAGACAAGGATTTGATGTATGAAAGGCACAGCAATTTTTTAAAAAGGCAGCAAAATGGCTCAATGCCATGGCTGACATATTTTAAAGCTAAATGGTTTTAAATGCATTTCTGTCATTATTACAATCTGTAAACCTTCCTAAGGGGGGAAAAAGTACTATTTCAAAACTGTGCTCCTGCCAGAGCTTGGAAATTTACTTTTAAGAAGAACAAATGCATTGACAAGCTGAAGCTAAGCTTGAATGAACAGCATTCCATCAAACTGAGATGTGATTGAATGATGCTTTGGAAAACACCCATCCACCCACCCCCAGAGCAGAGGGAAGAAGGCAGTCTGGAAAGGTAATTTTGTGTAGAGAAGGGGGGGAAATCAAGTAGTCTCTTCCCTGTCTTCTACTTTCACCAATCGGATTGGCAGCCTGCACTGCTGCTTTGTTTTCAAAAATGCATAATCAAGTACCATGGAACTCCATGCAGCACAGTATTTGGCCTGTAAACTTGATTAGCTGTGAAAAGGACTCACATAGAGTAGGTTAGGTTCCATTAACTTTAATGAAGTTTGCATACAAGGTCTCCTAATAGATTGTATCCAGTTCTGAAGAATCATTGCCTGGCATGTGTAGGTTTTAACCAAGATAAAATAAAATTGATGAACTGTTTCACAACTGGGCAGTTAATCTAGCAGATGTCTGTTGGGAATTATTGTTTGCTTGTTTGTTTTTTGAATTTCTGTTCAAATATTGACAATTTTTTTACTTTCAGCTATAGAATTTATGCAAATATCCTATACTGCCATGAACCAGCTTATACCGTATACATGTGAAAACCAATTATAAGGAATTATAAGAATGAGACAATTTGTTTTAAAACTGTATTTTAGCAATATTGCAACATAGATTGAAAAGCCTACACAAATTCCACTGTATTTTTCCCCTCCCTTAGGAGGTGTTGTATGATCTTCTCCATATGAAATTCATAGTGACGCATTTGGACAAAATGAGGTGTTTACGAAAGCGATCTGCAGTATCCTTTCTAGGAGTCTTGGTCATCTGCTTGTTGTTCATGAACTTATACATTGAAGACAGCTATGTCTTGGTAAGTTGCCCATGTACAATAAAATGATGTGTAGCAGTGTAATTGTAGGGTAACAGAAAGCACACTTATGAAAACAAAATATGGAAGTATGCCAGGATCCATGTATAGAAATATTCCTCTTTTTTGGACTATAACTTCCCCACCTTTACAAAAACAAAATGGCTGATGGAGGTATGTTGTGATCAGAGCTTAGAGAATTTTTGACCACATGTCCCATAATCCTTATTTGAAAACAAAACAAACAGCAATAGAGGTGTGTCAGGATAAGAGCTTGGAAAGGCTCCTCTTTTTGGACTGTGCTCAGAATCCTCCATCAGCATGGCTGGGAAATTCTGGGAAAGGAAAATAATCCAGGTGAACAATTGGCTACAAAGGCAATGCCAGCATGAGGGATTTGGATTTTGGTACTATGAGTTATATTTCCTGGAGGATGCACTGCTAGCAAGAGATGGGGTGAACCTCACAAGGACTGGGTAGAATGTTTTGGCCACAGCATGCAGAACTTCATCATGAGGGCTTTAAACTGACTTGGAAAGGGGAGGGAGACCCAAAGTTCAAATGTAAAGGTATGTGAAGGCTTACAAACAATATGAAAAGACCAAGCAATTCTAATGGGCTCCAATAGTAATCTTCATTAAAATGTATGAAAGAAAGCAGGCCACAAATCACATAATCTCTGCCGTCTAGAGTGGTCATATTGACCAGATAGGCAGGATAGAAATTGAATGAATGAATGAATGAATGAATGAATGAATATACAAATGTCAGGAGTATGGGAAACAGCAACTGTTTAAAATGAACAGAAAGAATAGAAAGAATTGTGGATTTATACTATATGTCAAAAATACATATTCTTGCACAACAGCAGCTGTTTAAAATGAACAGAAAGAATAGAAAGAATTGTGGATTTATACTATATGTCAAAAATACATATTCTTGCACAGAAATACAAGAGGATGAGCTTGGTTGTCCCATCAAGAATCTACTACCAACTGCCCAATAAAGGAAAAGATGCAGATGAAAACTTTCGAAAACAAATTGCAAGAATTTCCAAGAGACACAGTGAGGGAGTCCATTATCCTGATATCCACTGGAAGGCAAATTCCAGCAGATATGGCACTTCCAAGAAATTCCTGGCTTGTGCTGCTGCTGATTTTCTCTTACAAAAAGTAGAGGGGAAAAAAACCTAGAGAATTAGCTGTCCAATACTTGATTCCAACCAATAGAGACGACTTAATAGAAGAAGTGGCAGTAAGGGGAACTCTGGGGGAAAGTCATCATGTTGTACTTTATTTTTTATTTATTTATTTCAAAGGAAACAAAAGCAGCAAAGCATAAATAAACTTAGGACAATGATACATAAAGTCCCAGGGCAGGAGATCCTACCAGGAAAGAGTCCAAGTTATGTGTTGCCATGTTCCCCAATTAAATAGAAACTTGTAATTTCAAAAGAGGGCCACATGGGAGGGTATGTGCGTAATGCCTCAGCTTATTTGCTTGAAAAGCTATGGTGTGATATCTAATCAGAGTATACTTATAAACGATTCCCTCAAATTGAGAAGAGGTAAGAAGTGCGATACTGTACCATAAAATTCAGTCCTGGGTCTTCAGCATTTTTATGACGGAGTTCAGGGAATACTTGTCAAATTCATGGATCACACAAAATTGGGTGGAATAGCCCTAAAAGACAGAAACAAAATTCAAAAAGATATTTATAAACTCAAGCACTGGACGGATAACAACAGAATGAAATTGAACAGGAATAAGTGCAAAGTTCTACACTTTGGAAAACCAAACACACAGTTACAAGATGGGGATACTTCACTAAATAATGCTATAAGTGAGAAGCATCTTGAGATTGTTGTAGCTCACAAACTCAAAGAGCCAACTGCATGATACAGCTGCAAAATGGCAGATGCTGTTTTAGGATGCAGTGACAGAAGAATAATCACCAAATCCTATGAAGTCCTAACTCTCTTTCTGATAGGGTTCGTTTGAAGTTTGAAGCAGTTCCTGCTTTTTGGCGGGAAATAACCAAGAGCACTCATTTGAATAATTAACACATTTATTTGATTTAACATTTGAATATTCAACGATAACCTCAACAGGGTCAAGACAACTCAAATTCAGTAACTGTTCATATGGAGATGATAATATTCCCAAAGGGGATTCTAGAGAGTCTATTGTGGGGCTGGCCCGAACCATTCTTTGTCTGTGGGCTTCCTCAGTGGAGTGCTCCTCACAGCACAAATCGTGCCGCAGCAGGAATGTCGAGCCCAATCCCCTTTGCACAGTGGTTGTATGTTGTATCGGGTTGGATCACCCTCCTCCAATGACCTTGTCCTCTCAGGAAAACTACCACTGTCCATTCTTGCATTTCGGTTATTGTCAGCTTCTTTTCTTTTTGGGTCCAGGTCAGGTAATAGTCTCCCCACTATAAGGTTGGGGAACTCTTCTAAAAACCCCTGTGCTTTTTTATAAGTAGATTCTCCTTCCTTTCTTATCCCTTCCCACAGCACATAGAACACTTTTCCTTTTCCCTCCTCCTGTTATCTTCTCCTCCCACACAGGCAAGGTTAACTCCTCCCCTTTCTTTCCCTTGTCTTCTTCCACTAGGCAAACTTCCACCTTTGCTTCTTTCTCCTCCTTTTCATTGGCAATCAATCCTTCTGTTTCTTTTCCCACCACCTCTCTCTGTGACACTATAGTTTGGGTAGATGGCACACTCTCATCTCTCTTTCTCCTCTCTATGTCTCCTTCACATTTCTCTGTTCAGCAATTGTTAGGCCTCATATTGAATACTGTGTCTAGTTCTGGACACCGACACTTTAAGAATAATTCAGACAAACTATAACAAGTTCAGAGGAGGGCAACAAGAATGTTCAGGGCACAAGAAGTCAAGCCTTAAAGGAAAGACTGAAAGAACTAGGCATGCTTACGCTTGAGAAATGAAGACTGAGGAAACATATGATCACATTTTTTCAAATACTTGAAAGACTGCCGTACACAGGAGGGGCAGTATCTGATCTCTATCATCCCAGAGTGCAGGACATGCAGCAATGGGCTCAAGTTACAGAAAGTCAGATTTTGACCGAATATCGGGGGGGGGGGAGATCCTAACTGTTAGAGCTGTACAACAATAGAACCAATTACCTTGGGAGGAAGAAAATGTTCCAGTGCTGGAGGCATTCAAGAGAAAATTGGACAACCATCTGTCAGATATACTTTGATTTGGATTCCTGCATTGAGGAATGTGCTGGACTCAAAGGTTTTATAGGCTCCTTCCAACTCTATTACACTGGTGCCTCACTTGACGACAATAATGTGTTCTGTTAAAATCACTGTTAAGCGAAATCGTCATCAAGCGAAATTAAAAAACCCATTGAAATGCATTGAAAACCGTTCAATGCGTTCCAATGGGCGAAATACCTCATTGTGCAGTGAAGATCCTCCATAGGTTGGCCATTTTCTGAGGCCTGTATTGTGAGGAATCCGTCCTTAACACAGCGGGGAGCCATTTTGCACAGTGGGCGTCCATTTTGAAACCCGACGATCAGCTGTTTTTAGATCGTCGTAATGCGAAGAATTGGTTCCCAAAGCAGAGAACCGATCGTTGTGAAGCAAATTTTCCCCATAGGAACATCGTTTTGCGATGGCAATAGCGATCACAAAAAACATCGTAAAGCAGATTTGTCGTTTAACAAGGTAATCGTTAAGCGAGGCACCACTGTATTCTATGATTCTAAAATATGAAAATTTCTAGACTGTGATCAGAAATGGGCATTGCCTGCCTTTTATGAGATATAAGGGTTTTCTTTTTCTTTTTTTTTTACAACTATCTGATAGCACACCTAAAGGGGAAAACTGATGGTTTTTGACTCTCTGTGGGCTATAAGGAGGAACAGACAACTATTTATTACTAACCAGAGGGACTGAGAACTCTCCCTGTTGGAACCTTCTCTTCACTCCTCCCTGATTTATTGAATTCAACCTTACTGAACATGCTCGGGACAGCAACCATTGCCACTTGTCAGAAGCTTTAGCAGGGTTAGATTGAAGAGGTTTCTGCTGACTGCTGCTGAAAATGTACTCTTCGTATTTGTCATAAGATGAAATTGTTCAGAACTTTTCGATCCATCGCTCTGTGAGAAAGGAAAGATGAAGGCACAGAGGAACATCAAAATGGCTTTGCTGGCTCAGACCAAAGAACCGCCCATGTCTAGCACTCTCTTTCTAACAGCAACCACCCAGATGACTTCTGGAGACACAAAATTAGTATAATATTGATGGATTATTTTTTTGTCTTCAATGACTTGTCCCCCCAAATAATTTCTGCAGCTTCTTCTTGCCCTGAAGGAGGCTCCACAGCTTAGAAGGACTATAACCCAAATACCTGTTCAACTTGATTACAACATCCTAGTTTCACCATCAGTAGTAATATTACTACAGTGGTGCCTCACATAACGATGTTAATTGATTCTGAAAAAAAACGTTATGTGAAAACATCGTTATGTGAAGCACCATTTCCCATAGGAATGCATTGAAA